GGGCACAGAGGAGAAGCCGTGCTAGGCAAAGGGGCGGGCCGTCCTCCTCCGACCCAGACAGTCCTGCCTTGGGTCTAGTTTGCACAGCCAGCCAGGGACAGGTCTGGAAGAAGACCGGGGCAGGTAGACGATTGATCACAGAAAAATCCCACAGGAGCAAGGAAGGCACCGAAGGGCGGCTGGAGGAAGAGCTGCTGGGAAAGGGAGGCTTTAGAGGTGGACAGCGCCCGGTTTCAGGGCCAGGCGCCCCAGGAGAGGGTGGGGATGCACATGGAGGGTTCCGGCTGGTGTGAAACTGCCCATGCCAGGGAAGCACCACTGAGGTACGGAGGTCTCTGGCTGGGGGCACAGAGACTGGATTTGGCTTTGGACAGGGCAGAGGAGGTGGCCTGACCCCAAAGCCAGGAGCCGGACAGATGGGAGCTAGGGAAGACTAGGGGAGAGGGACCCCAGGCCCTGAGGCGTCCACGGTTGCGGGGTTATCCTGGCACAGAGGCTGAAGGTGGGGCGGGGGCCTGATCCTAAAGCCCACCCTGACAGCAAGGGGTACTTGGAGACTGGAACCCCAGGCCCTGGGGCGTGCACCGTGGGTCAGGGGGTGGTCCCTCGCACAAAGGCGGTGGGTGGGCGCGAGCCTGACTTCGAAGTCCAGTGGGATCGCGAGGGGGACTTGGAGAGACGGACCCCACGCCTTGGTGCAGGGAGGTGGGGTTCGCCGGCACAAGGAAGCGGGCGTGGGGCAGGGGACCTGGCTTGGGAGTGACCCCGATCGCGACGGGGAACTGGGGAGCGGAACCTCGGGCCCGGGGGCGCGCGAGGCAGGGGCTCTCAGGCTCGGGGCGGAAAGCACACACCTGCCGCCGCGCCCGCACGTGCGGATGCGCCCGGGTTCCCGCCCGAGCGCCAGAGGGGGCGGGGCCTGGCCCACGTGCCCGCCCCCGGCCCCGCCCCGCGCGCCTGCGCCCTGCGGGCCGCCCATTGTTGGGCCGCGGCGTGACGTCGCGGGGGCGGGGTCGGGGCGGGGCCGCGGGAGGCGGCGGGAGGGAAGGAGAGTCCCGCGCCGCCGCCGCCGCCGCCTCGGCAGCCGAGGAGCCG